AATAAATGATATTATAATAATAAATGATAATAAATGTCAAATGATAATAATAAATCCGCTGTCCTCTCAATCAAGCAATATTATATACACATGCGCGCGTGTATGCGTGTGTGTGTCCTAGGGCGCTCTCCTAATTATATACACACAGGTCTACTGATAAGAATTTAATACAGAAACCTATGCTGAGATACCCCCTGACCATATTAAATGCATTTTCAACACAAAATATAACTTCTCTCGTGAGATATTCCGCATGCGCTAAAATAGTAACGTGGCCAGATGGTGTACTGACTGGTTTATGCAGCGGAGACCTTACATGCAAGGTCTGCTTTCTATTTCATAATTAAGTGAGATCTACTGATGAAATATTATCATAGAAATCTATGCTGGGAGAACCCCTCTTCATTTTAAATTCAGTTTTGGCAAAATATTCTTCTTCTTGAGAGATATTGCGCATGCGCGAGCACCGTTTCAGACGTGCAGTACGGCCTAAATAAAAGTACGTAATAAAGCGTACTGCGGGAGCGAGGGGTGGGAGACTGAGGAAAGGTGGCAGGAAAGACAGCCGAGGGGCGGTGGAAGAAGAAGGAAGCTGAGCGTGCGACAAGGGAGACAAGGGGAAGGGCGGGCGGGGATGAAGCAGTAGTTTTGCACCCTACAGGCTAGGGCGCTCTCCTAATTATAAACACAGGTCTACTGATAATAATTTATTACAGAAACCTATGCTGAGATACCCACTGACCATATTAAATGCATTTTCAGCACAAAATATAACTCTTCTCGTGAGATATTCCGCATGCGCTAAAACAGTAACGTAGCCAGATAGTGTACTGACTGGTTTACACAGAGGAGACCTTACATGCAGGGTCTGCTTCCTATTTCATAAGTGAGGTCTACTGATGGAATATTATTATAGAACTCTATGCTGGGATAACCCCTCTTCATCTTAAATTCATAATTTTGGAAAAATATTCTTTTTCTTTGGAGATATTGCGCATGCGCGAGCACCGTTTCAGACGTGCAGTACTGCCTAAATAAAAGTACGTAATATAGCTTGCTGGGGAGAGAGGGGTGGGAGGCTGAGGGGTGAGAGACTAAGGGGAGGTGGCAGGGAAGACAGCCGAGGGGCGGTGGAAGAAGGAGGCTGAGCGTGCGACAATAGATACAAGGGGAAGGGCGGGCGGGGATAAAGTAGTAGTTTTGCACCCTACTGGCTAGGGCGCTTTCCTAATTATAAACACAGGTCTACTGATAAGAATTTATTACAGAAACCTGTGCTGAGATACCCTCTACCAATATTAAATTCATTTTTAGTACAAGATATAACTCCTCTCGTGAGATATTCCGCATGCGTTAAAACAGTAACGTAGCCAGATTGTGTGCTGACTGGTTTATGCAGCGGAGACCTTACATGCAGGGTCTGCTTCCTATTACATATGTGAGGTCTACTGATGGAATATTATCATAGAATTCTATGCTGGGCGAACACCTCTTCATTGTAAATTTAAAGTTGTGGCAAAATATTCTTCTTCTTGAGAGATATTGCGCATGCGCGAGCACCGTTTCAGACGTGCAGTGCGGCCTAAGTAAAAGTACGTAATATAGCGTACTGCGGGAGCGAGGGGTGGGAGACTGAGGGGTGGGAGACTGAGGGAAGGTGGCAGGAAAGACAGCCGAGGGGCGGTGGAAGCGCGCGCGCGCGCGCGCGC